TCTCCCCAGACAGAAACCCCAGGACCCAAGCCAGCCAGCCACAACAGTGTGAATTCCTCAGGGAGGTGCCAGTCTCATCCTCTTGTAGTTCCCACACTCCTGCGGTGATCTAAGAAAATGCTTATCTCCCTGAGCCTGGCGTTCATAATTCCATTCCATCACAACTATTGAGAATCAAAGGCCTTTTTGAGAGCTATCAAAGACTCTCCTTCCCATCTTGTGTGAATCTCTTTACAGATCTTCAATGATACTCTGTCGGACGCCTGCATTCGTATCACGGAGGGGGAGAAGCTACGCATGAAAGCTCTTTTCGGTAACCTTCTTTGAGAGGAAGGGAGGATGGAAGACCTTCAGATGTTATCATGTTAGGTTAGAAAAGCATCCAGGGGTAAAACATACGAGTGGCTGGAGCACTTTTCTGCACTTATTCATGGAGAATAAGTGTCCATATCAGCCAGCAGCCATACTGGAAGCTCCAGGCAAAAGAGCAGTCTAACTTCTGGGCACCGGTTGCCAGAAGAGAGGAAAATATTGTCGTCCTTGTCCTTCTTGCTGGGAGTCCTTCTTATTTCCAAAAACACCAAGCTGGCCATTGTGGGAAGGAGATTCTCTCTGCAAAAGCTGGATCTATTCCTGCTGGTTCAATATGTAGCTTTAATCATAGCTTTTCAACTCACAAATCTTTCAAAGAAATCAGGACAAGAGAGGGGTTGGGTGCCAGTTTTTCCCCCTCGGAGACATTCTGAGGACACCAGTGTGGTTTCTCCCCGCAGCAGAAAGCAAGCTGGACTCCTTCAGTCCGGTAGCCGATGAAAGCATCAAGAAGGAAATTATCCGCATGGGCCGGGAAGATTGGGAGGTATATTTCTCCCGCCTTTTTCCTGCTACGGTAAGAGGATTCCCCCACCCCACACAGCCATGAGATTAACTGAAACCGGCTGTGGTCAAAACATCAAGATGGCTTCTGCAATGGTACAGCCAAAGCTCCATCAGTTTTTTATGGGCATCGGTTGCACCATTGCAGCTGTCACTGTGACTTTTTTGACCATGCCCCATGGCTACACTTGACTTAAACTGAAGTCTGCATCACACAGTATTTGCTGCTGTAGCCAAAGTTGAAAGAAGACAGCAAACTCTGCCCTATGTATTAGACTGGTGTTTCTCAACCTTGGTGGCTTTCAGATGGGTGGACCTCAACTCCCACAATTCCCCAGCCAGCTGGCTGGGGAATTCTGGGAGTTGAAGGCCACCCATCTGAAAGCCACCAAGGTTGAGAAACACTGGATTAGACTGAGTCCAGTTCCTGCAACTTTGGTGGCTAAAGCACCCAGCCCATTGGCATGCTACACCTTCTGCCCTCAGCTGGAGACTTCATTTGCCAGCTGCGGCTTCATTTGCTCCAAAATTCAGAGATTTCCTCCCATAGCTTTCCAAACCATTGATATCCCCCACTGTTATATTTTAATTTTAAAAACAGCTCTCCTTCCGATGGTGTGAACTCATGAGCTGAAGAAAGCTCTCCTCCTGGGCTTCCCTGAAGCTCCAGGTGCTAGGCCCAGCCTGGCAAAACCATCTCTCTCACCCTTCAGGGCAGCGTTGGCACCGGAGTGCAAATCTTGGCGGTGTCCGACACGGGGATTAAACTTCTGCGACTGGTCAAAGGAGCCAATCTTCCTAGGGAGCAGGTCCGGGTGTTGCGAGGCTATAGGTAAGGCCAGTGCACACCTGTCCAGAGGGAAAATGAAAAGACTGAACGGGGGGGATGGATATTTAGGAAGGAATGGCCTTTTTTACCTGGCAGAGAACTTCTTCTCTCTCAGCCTTTGTTGGTGCTTTTCACATTGCTTGAGTCTGAGCAGGTTTTACACATTTTCCACAAAAGTTCTGCCTCGACTCACAGAGAGGGAGTAGATGAGAAAGGCGTCCCATCTAAATTCTTCTATGGATCTTAGTTAACCAACTACCCATACAAAGTTGAAAGCAAAAAAGAAGAGAAAGAGTCAAAAATGCATAAGGATGCTCCTGTTCAAAAGAACATGCCAACAAAATGAAAAACTTCAGGGGAAATTGCTTGGGGAAGGACGTAGAGAAATCCGTTTCATGTAGGTGTTTTGCAAGTTGGGGCAGCTGAGACCATTAGATGATCTAGAAATGCAGCCTGACCGAACTGATGGTCAGTAACAGGTCAAGCATAAAAGGAAATTGGCAGAGCTGCTGAACTGGATTCACGGATGGCTGCTGGCCAGCTCACACCTGAGGCTGGAAGTGGTGGCCCTTTTAATCACCCTTAGGATGGCCACAGTTCCCACCTTCCTCAGAATTCAAGATTCCTTAGAAGACCTTTTTATCTGGGTTCCAAGATGGGAGAGGTTGTATAGCCTATCTCAATGACCAGGAGGTCTTCTGTGTACCTCTTTTGGACTAAATCCTGGCTTAGCAATTAATCAAGGAACCCCTTTTTTCTCTCCGCACCCTCCGTCCCCAGCTATAGCGAGCTCCTGTTTGTCACCATCCCCTCAAAGAACATGCTGGAATTCAACCTGGTCAATGAGAAGCTGATCCTCTTCTCCCCCAAAGCTGTCCAGGTAAAGGCCTTGATCGACCACTTTATCACGGAGCTGAAGAAGGTAAGACCTCAGACGGTGGATTTGGTTGGGGAAGGTAGCTGGTTTTTTTTCTTGTGAGCCAGGTTGGATGGAGCAAAAGACAATGTGTTAGATCAGTGCTGGCTGGCTGTTGTGCATGGCTGGCTGGGGAATTCTGGGTGTTGAAGTCCACACATCCTAAAGTTGTCAAGGTTGAAAAACACTAGGTTAGATTTTAAAATAAGATGAAATCTTTTAAAATAAGTAATGAATACTATTGTTGCTCTCCAGCTGGTTGGTTAAACTGGGGTTCTGCTGCCTCTCTCAGACTGCAGTATGCAGGAGGGGGGCTAAATGTTGCTTCCTGAGTTGTTCAGGGGTCTTCTTTGCAGGGCTGGGCGGCCAGCTGGGCAGTGTTCTTGGTCCAGCATTTTGAACCAGACACTCATGGCTTTTTCTCTGATTTAGGACTCACAATATATGGTTGCCATTAAGGACCATATCACAAATGCTGAAAAGTTTCTGAGTTTTCACAAGGGAGACATCATCTGCCTGCGACCCCTGGAGGGCTTGGAACCAGGTGAGCAACATAATAGGAGAAGAATTTTAGCAGAAATGTATTGCAGCAGCAGCAGCAGCAGCTGTGATAAATGTTTGCAGAAGTATGTGCAGGGTGGAGAAAGCATTGCTTCAGCTTATCTTTGCAGCCACAAGAATTAGGAAGTTTCTCAAGGTGATCAGTTTCATTCATCTCACAAATATTCCACTTTGCTGAGAGCTGGAAAATCCACCTATGGCATACAGAGTTGAACCCACCCACCACTTTCTTCCTCAAAAGACGCACAGGTGTCCAACAGATGCAAACGAATGTTTGTTGAATTAATCATCATTTAAATTGTACAGAAATGTGTCCTCCAGATGCCATGATGTCCTTCCATTGATATTCATGGCCCAGATGCTCCCTTTCTTCTGATATTCTTGAGCATCTGATTTGGTGTATCCTAACAATCATTTATAAATATAGGCCTATCAATGAACAAAGAACATGTTTAATCCACTAATACCAGAGGGGGTTCTGAAGGACAGTTAGCCCATATCTAAACATCAAAAAATCTTTATCTGGGGTAACAATTCAAGTTCCTCAAACAGCAAAAAATCATCCTCTGCTCCTTTCTTCTTCACATGCAGCCCTGATCCTTGCCTTGCTATCTGCAAGTTGAATTCCCTCCCATAATCATCAGGGTTTGCTCACCATCTTGTTAGCTAATAGAGCATGAATGGAAATTCCATATTTTCCAACATGCTATTGACTTGAACACCCTCCAGCTTGGAAGGTGTGCCAAACAGATGAATTCCAATATAGCCTATGAAGGAGAAACATAAAGAATTAATGCAATTCTCCTCTAATACATAAGAGGAGAGCTAAAACCTATAGATGGAGGTTAAATGAGACTTTGCTATAAAAGGAATTAGTAATGGAGGACTGTAAAAAGAAATTGAAACCATTTTTTGAGGATAATCTTAATAAAGGCACAGGCATAAAGATAGTATGGGATGCTAGTAAAGCCTTTATGAGAAGGCGATTTATATAGCAAAATAGTAAATTGAAAAGGCAAAGACAAGAGAAGATGCAAAAGATTTTAACGGAGATAGAGAAGAAGGAGGGAGGTTATTAATGAGGCCTCCAGGAAGGAAAAATGTTTTACAGCAGATTAAACTTTTACAATGCGAGCGTCTATGTTAATGGTAAGAGAAACGGAAATAAAAATGAATTTTGCAAAAGAATTAATGCGAAGTTTAGCATCATCACTGCAAATGCAAGAGGGGAGGATTTCTGATGGACCCGAGTTGTCCACTCTATGTGGAAGCGTTTCTGGGATCCCTCTGATGTCCCTGTGCTTCTCCCACCCACAGACCACTATTATGGCTGCGTGGTGAGGAAGAAAGTGATGCTCCTGGAAGAGGTCAAAAAAGGCACCTTGGATTTTGGTGGGTGGCTTCTGTGTGGTGTGCTCTGCTCTGCTCTCTTCCAGGCCCCTATTCTTTGACAACTTTCACCTTTCAGTTGCATGCTGGTTTTTTGCCCCTTGAGCAAACTCATTCCCTGGTTGGAAATGTTTAGAGCTTCCTAGGTCCAGATAGATCACAATGTTTAATCAACAGGACCTGGAGAGTCCCCTCTCTGCCCAATCTTACAGCAAACTTCAAACTAAACAAAATGGAAATGTGAAGTTCGACAAAGTGATTGTGACAGATTCACTAAAATAAGATGGATGGGTTGGCCCATCCAAACCTATGATTCTTGAGGTTGCTGGATCCTGACCCAAAGGGGGAAAAGCAAAAGCAGTTTTCCTCAACCACCGAGCAATGTGGGATGCTGTTCTTCTTCCTGCCTTGTCTTTCACTCGGCTATAGTAGAAAAAAGCTACCCATGAGAGCCAATATGGTGAAGGTGTTAGACTATGATTGGGGAAAGCCAGGTTCAAGTCTCCCTTAGCCATGGAAGGTCATTGTCAGGCTTTCAAGATTGATGCCAGTCCTTCAAGGCAGGTCAGGTTGGGGAAAAGACAACGCAAGGGCGACTGGAATTCGACTTTAGTGTAATAGAGTATAATAACAGAATCTTGAAAGTCGGACAGCAACTCGCAAGGAGCCTTTGGACCACTTCCTCTCTCTCAGCCCAACCTACTTCACAGGTTTTTGCTGGGGGAAAATGGAGGAAAAATGCCGCCTTGATCTCCTAGAGGAAAGGTGGGGTAGAAATCTATCAGGCAAACAAGCAAACCTCTGGGTAACCCACTCTTCTTCCTTGGGGGAAGGTATTTGGAGGAGCATAAAGAGGGAAGATCTCTTGACAACTGTTCTGGGGTTCTCTTATTCCTGGGATAGGGTGGACATTTGGTGCCATCTATGGGAACTCGGGGCTGTTCCCCGCCAGTTGCGTCCAACCAGTGGCTGCCCCAGATTTCACACACCTGCCCACAGAGAAGAAGGAGGACCCCAACAACAGGCAGGCCAAGGTGGCTGGCCCAACCTCGGTGGCTGTGGCTGTCGCATCAGCGGCTGTGGCTCAGGAGCTGGACAGGAAGGTTCGGACAAGTTGGTTGTGGAGGTGTGAATGTCCTTGTATGGCAGGGAGGCAGGATTCAAGAGGAAACAGGCAGGAGCAGGCATATGGGGCCCGTTGTTCCCTCGCTGAACATTTTAACTCATTGCTGGGGATGAAAAATATTGTCCTCTTTCATTGGGTCACCTAGGATCCATACCTGAGTAGCATTCCAACCTCAGCCCTCATTGTAAGTGTGTGTGTTGGGGGAGGGTTTCACCCCACGCGCCTGCACAACCCATGCCCTGGGTTGGCACAAGAGTGCTGTGCAAAGGGATCTGCTGCATCTTTGAGGATCTGCTACATCCACCCCTACAGGTTTCCCCAGGGGGCGAAGAGTACTTGGAGAGCTGGGAGGAATTCAAGCACGCCCCACAGAACAGGCCACAAGGAGGCCCTTTCACCATGCTGGAGTTCGCCAAGAACTATTTCCGAGAAGGGCAGCGGGCAAAGACGTGAGTGAGTGTGTGCAGGTGGCAGAGTTGGGAGCGAGTTGTCCTTGAGGAAGGAAAAAGAAGAAGCTGAATGGGTCAGCAGCCTGCGAGGGAACAAAGGCATTCCAGGAGGCCACCACCTCCCACGCTAGCTTGGAACACCAGATATTTATGAAATCCCCGGTATTGTTTAGGAGGGCCCTGGGAGGACAAGAGCTAAGTCAAGAGTGGGGGTGTGGGAGAAGCAGGCAAGGTGAGAGAGAGAGAGAACCTTTCATAACCAGAAGTAGTGTACAGATACAACAAAGATCTAAAGAATTCACCAGGGCATGGGAAAAAGAAGATTTTTATTTTATTTCCAATTAAGACTTTGGTTGGAGCTGGTCACCCTACAGGTGGAATGCGCCCTGTCTCCCAACACACATGGCATTCATATTTTAATGATTTATTTACTTTATTATTTATGATTCAGGGACAAGCAGAAATTGAAGAAGGGTGTCGAATCCAAGAGTGTGGCAGATATTCTGAAATACACCAAGGTAACAACGATTGTTTCCCTCGGGAGCACAGATCACCTGGTCTGCTGGCTTATGTTGTATCCTCACTTTTCCAACTGCTTCTTTGAACGAGCATTGTGTGCACAACAGAGCTACGGTCTTGGCAGTTTCCTCTTCGAACCAGGACCACGTGCTCTTGCCCATTTATGTGCACACGTGACTTCCTCCAATGAGTGTGATTCCCACACTCCGCTTATCATCCCACGTTTTCTCCCTTCCCGGCCCTCCAGTGCCCCATCCAGGAGTCGCTCATTGGATTCACCAACAGCAGCCTGAACAAAACAGCAGCAGAATCCTTTCAGGGTGAGTCCTTCTCCTGTAACCAGGCGCCCACTCCTCCTAGGAAGAAATTTGCCCTCTGCGCCATGAGTTCAGAGGGGAGAAAGCTGTCATAATTGGAGAGTTCTGAGACCAGGGTTTTGTGGTCGCTGCGTTTCAGTAAATGTGTACCATTTTTTCCTCTCTCGTCAGCTTCCAAAGGTCAGTTCTATGAGCTTGGCAGCCATGACAGTTTGGCAAGGACTGGTTGGCTAATGATAGCATGAGCTATCCAGGCTTTGGCACAGGTTGCTTTCGCCCAAATGCTTTGCACGTAAAAACACGATAAGTGATTCAAGTGCTATGATTTATTTGGTTAGGTTTATTATTTTCATATGCAAAGCTTTGGAGGGAAAAAAAATAGTTCCAGTGCCGCTCCAAAGATCAGCAGCCTTGGAAAAGTCTGCTGTCCCTCCTCCAGCACGTCCAGTTATCAACAGCTGCTTTGCTGCTGAGTAGATTTCTGGTGTAAGTTAGGAAGATGAGCTCATTCAGCAGGCAAGGAACTACTCTAATGCTTCACAATGTACATTAATGTTCACACATAATGCTAATCACACAGTATGATGGACAAACAACAATGGCTGACTCACTCATGCCAAGTCAAAACCAAACAAGCTAGATTATATTATGGCATATGAACCCAACCAAAGCATGGGTAGTTGAAGGGACAATCCCAATTGAAAGGGATTGTCCCTTCAAAGTGGTGTTTGTGTGTTTTTTTTCTTTGTTCCCCTAGCTGTGATGAAGTTCATGGGTGACCTTCCACTCAAAGGACAGTCTGAGCTGGACATGGTCTATACTTTGTTGAAGGTAACCCTCTTTCCAGCGTTGGCTTGTATCAGACCTCATGGAGCAGATGTTGGAATGAGCTTCCATGGAACAAGAGGCTGGTTGTTTCCATCTCCATGTCAGTCCACTTGGTGGTTGCAGAATTGGGTTGCCTTGTCACTCCCAAGGTGGCCCTCCTCCTCCTCCTTGCTATTTTAATCCTTTACAGCAACCCACTCAACCTCTTACCGCATGCACAGAGTTCCACTCCCATCATCCCCGGGGCCATGGCTTCACTTTATTCTAGAGCAGGGGAAGGTGTCCTTTTTTGTAAAGGTTTAAAAGAGCAGGAGGCCAGGGGGTCTTGGCAGCAATGCCCATGAAAGGCATGATGGACACATTCAGGGTTTTTGTTACGTGCTTTTTTAGTTGAGGGGGTGCAGTTAAAAGCCAGTTGACAGGTGAAGGTACTTTAAACCAAGTGAAGGCTGGCCCTAAATCTTCTAGTCTTTGGGTCTTTTTTGAATTCCAGTTAAAAATTACATCACTGAAAACCAGTGTTTTGCTGCCAAATTTCCATGCTACTGTTTTGGGGAGTTCAGAGGCCTACAAAAATAGGAGTAGGGAGTTCATGTGACACCAACCAGGGATGGTTTGTCCCTTCTGTAGAAGAGGTCTTCTGGATTTGCAGAAGTGTTGGATTCTGTGTGGTCTCAGTGGGCTCTTACTGACCAAACCTTCCTAGGTGAGAAGGTCTTTGGGGGAAGCAGTGGGTGACCAATTAGGACAGAGAGGAGAGCAAGGAATTACAATCTCTGATGATCTCCCTCCTCCCATGCTCTTTTCCTGCCTCTTCTCCAGCTCTGTGGAGACCATGAAGTCATCCGGGATGAAGTTTTTTGCCAGATCCTCAAACAGATCACAGACAACGTCAGCAGCAAGATGTAAGCCAGTCCCTCAATCTTTCATGCTCTTGGCTTTCAGGAATCCAGTGTTCCCCTTCCTAGAGTCCTCCAAGTGAATTGTATTTCAACTCTCACAGCTGCCAGGTCTGCTGGCCCAGGAGTATGGGAGTTGAAGTAGCACATATCCCAAGGACATCATGTTGGAGAAAGCTGCAGTAGATAATAGTCAAGTGTGGACATGCCCTACTCATATAACTCACCTTTAATCCTTGGGCAGTCAAGGGATGGAGCACCACACTTCTCAACCCAAAGGAGTTGGGAGATAGAGCTGTTTTAGGGCAAGCTTCCCATAGCTGGGGCTTCTCAGAAGGAGGAGAACCCAACCCGTGTCTTCTCTCCCTCCTAATGTTCCAAGTCACTGGCTGAAGGAAGATGCCAGTGAAGCCTTGCTTTAGCTCTGTGGTCCCAAGATAGGCCAGGACAGCCATTGCCTGAGTCAGCTCCTGCTCCTACCTCTAGCTCTGTGTAGATGCTCACCAGATCCAGCGGAACTCTCACATGGGTGCCTTTGGCACAGGGACAGCTGTCTGAAAGGATGGAGGCTTCTGTATATCCTGAGTGCCTACTACAGATGCTCTGAGGTGTTCAAGCCCTACCTTCTACAGTTCCTCCAGGAGGTCTGTGGCCATCCTGGCTTGCATTTCCAAGGTGAGCTGCGCTGGAACTTTTCACTAAAAGATGCACGATCTGGCCCAAGATCATTCCACCCTCGAACCTGTCCCTACTCAATCTAGGCTAGCCAATTTTTGGCATTATACAGGTGGCAAAAGCGTGACATTTCAAGACGGGCCAGAGCAAGCCTGGAGTTCTTCCTGCTTTGTAAGAGGGGGGCAAATCAGCTAGTAGCCTTGCATTGGACGGGCTGCCTGCTTATCTTTGCAAATTTATGGGGATTTCAGTTGGGCTTCCACATTTGCGCTTTGAGGCCCGTCGTTTGCCGTAATAGTAGCGGTGGCCTCTCCTGCTCTTGTCCACCTAAAACATCCTCTCCACGGGGATGTAAAGTCAATTAAATGCTTCAGATTTCTGGGACAAGGGAGGTGTTGGAATCTAGCTGTACGAGGGAGAAAACTGACAGAGCTTGGGCCAAAATTCATCCATCAAACAGCCCACTCAAGGAAACCTACGTGCTGCTACCTCTCCAGTCGTTAAAACTTGGAGATGAATCCATCTGCTCTGTGTACTGCTGGAAGAAAGCCTCTTAGGTCACATCACAACCCATGGTTATTTTCTCATTAAAAACCGTCCAGAGGGATGTATGTTATTGGCAAAGATGGATTACCCCTCGCTCGACTTCCAGCTGGGCGATGATTTCAGCCCATCAGCGCATCTTTTCTGTTGGAGACAACCGTTGCTGCTATTGGAGAAAATCTGGAGCTTGGGAAGTCTGGACCGTGAAAAGCTAGGGAATGAACCAGACAGGAGGACTGCCACCCACCAGGTGGCACGCAATCCTGCCTTTCAAGGCTCAGCAGCCTGCCCAAATCTAAATTCAGCAGAGGGTAGCAAATGTGTTCCACCCAGGCTGGAGTAGGACTTAGTCCCGAGAGCGGGATTTCTCCATGGCAGATTGAGAAATGAGCCCTTCCACCATCTTCTTCAGGGTGTTTATCTCTCTGCTTCCCTTCATTATGCTCCATCAGGCATTGCCAAGGCCTGTGAGCAGAACTTGCAGAAGACTTTCAAGTTTGGTGGCCGCTGTGAGTTTCCCAGTAACGTGGAGCTCAGAGCCATGGTGGTGAGTACTTGATGAGCAATTCCTGGAGAACCCGGAAGGAAGGAGAACCCATTGGCTGGGAAGGGGGCACCCAGAGGGGCTCTGGAGGGTTGACGGCTTTGCTGTGGTCTGGAAGGGGACGAAGAGAGAGGGATGGGCAAGCAAGGTGTCTTCAAGCCTCCACAGCACACAGTTTCCCCCTGTTTATGTCGCTAATAATTTGGCTTTTCGCCGTGCTGTTCCTCCTCCAAAGGTTGGAAGAAGTTCAAAGCGTCAGCTATTCCTCCTTCCAGGAGGAATCGAAAGGCACCTGAAAATCAAGACTTGCTCGGTGAGTGCAAGGAATCACCTTCCCTCCCCTTGATGCTTGCTGATCTGACAGAACCAATGAATACAGGGGGGAATATTTTGTTAACAAAACTCCAAAGATTTGGGTGGCATGTTTCAGGTGTCAGAAATGCAAGGCATTTTGCACCAGCCCGCCCAACATTCTCGTTCAACGAAAACTTGCAGAATATATATCTTTTCTCTGGGTGCATATTAGTTTGTTTCCAGAGTTTACTCCAGGACAGAAAAACACACATATCTTTTCAAGAAGCAAACTCCATTCCACTTAAAACTTCTTATGCTCAAAATGTTTTTTCAGCCAAAATGTGCTGAGTCAACTGGTTACTTTCTGAAAGTCAGATCCTACTCCATCTCTTTCCACAAAGTCAGGTTAACAACATTTATCCCTCCTCTCAACATTTCTCCTTACAAGCCTCCTCTACAAATACATCGATTTAACATTCATCTGGCAGAAGAGTTCTGTGTAGTTCTGAAATCTGTACACTCCACATTATGATCTGTGAAGAGGCTTTTACAATTCTCAGTGGTGCAACTTCCTGCCCCCTCATTCACTTTTCTAGGTTGCCCAGGATATCATAGAAGAGATCTGCTTCGAAATGGGTCTGCACCAGCCTGAAGCCTTCAGAGAATACATCATTTTTGCTGTCTCTAGTAGAAGTGAGTTGATGAGGCTAGAAGGGAGATAATTTCCTTTATCTAGGCATTTAGAAATAATCACCTTCCTTTCTGTGGACTGGTTCATCTTTCAGATGTCCAGCTGTACCCATGCTACAAAGCCAACCAGCTAGTGAGCCCAGATTCCCATTATGGGGATCTGTTGGGCAGAACATTCATTGGAGCTGTTGACAAGTTTTTGTCTGTTTGAGCGATCCACCTTAATTAACATTGAATATTGCAAATGGGAATGCATGGGTTTTAAGCCAAGAGATGTGTCTCTCTTTCTCTTGGTCCAAGCAGAAGAAAAGTAGATGTTCCCTTGGCCAGATGCTTGGTCTTGTGTGTGGAGTGGCAGAGAGCCAGCTGGCAAATGGGACCTTCCCACTTTGGGTCACCCAGCTGTGTAGGCTGCTTCAAAAAACAGAGTGTCTCAATTTCCCCATCCCAGATCAGAATGTCCGGCCTCTGGACCGGCGGGAGTACATCCTTGATGTCACCATGGAAATGGAGAGTGTGGACAGCAGCTACATGTTCTGGTACCGGCGTGTGATTTGGACCCAGCCGCTGAAATTTGACAATGAACTCTACGTCACCATGCATTACAATCAGGTGAAATCTTTTCAGGAAGCATTCGGAGTTAAGATTCAGGGCAAGCGAGGACCTTGTTCTGCTTTGGAAAGACTCAAGCACCCCTCCTTAAGTTAACTTGATTTCATTAGTTACACTATACTGCCTGTCCTAGCCACATTTGAATGCAGTGAACATCCAACTAATACCACACAATCAAGCAAAACAATACAGTATGAAAAGACTTTAAAATACATTGAGCAATCTGGTCAGGCTTCATCTCCTGTCATACCCCCTGAATTCACCTGGCAGGTATCAAGTTGGGTTAAGGCTGCTAAATGACAGTTATTATGTCACTCTGGGCTTTTCCTGGTGTCTCTCCAACAGGTACTCCCTGACTATCTGAAAGGTCTCTTCAACATCTCGTCTTCTGCGAAGCTGAGTGAACAACAGCTCCAGCAAGTCTCCAAACTGGCAGCTCTGCAGCTCTGGGTGAAGGGCCTGGCCACCTTGTAGGTGCCTTGGGAATATGGTGGCGTTTGGAGAAGGCTAATGGTGGAGGCAAGAGGGTGGCTGTCTCCTGGGGGTCAACACTGGGCAGGCAGATGCTGGGTGGGGTGGTCATCTCTTCACATTCTGGGTATGAGGCCACAGCACTCCCTTTGGGTAGTTACCCTCCATCCCCTTGGCTTGGAAGAGAGGAGGCTTGGTGGAGGCCCCTTTATGGAAGCTTTAGCCCCTGTTTCCTCCTCTGTCTGTGACTTCTCACCCTGTGCTCCTGTTCCCCCTCCAAGACGGGAAATTCAGGATTACATCCCACCCCAGTTCTACCCTCTGCAGAAGACTCAGGCGTGGCTGGACATGGTCGCCCCCTACATGCAGCAAATACAGGCCTTGAGTGCCCACCAGGCTCGGGCACAGTTCTTAGGTAAGGCCTTCTCTTAACAAAGGGGCCAGGAAGGGAGGGCAGACCAGCCAAAGTTCTGGGATTAAGCTGCAAGAATGCTGGCTGGCAAAAAGATATGCCTCCTGTGGAACTTAGTCCTGTGTTTATTGTTACAAGAGTTCTTGGTTGTTAATCACCTGGATTCTCTGGCAGCTGTACAATAAACATACAAGTAGGGTTGGATAAGGGTTACAACAGAAAGAGTCCTGCTCATCTGTCTAGATTCAATGGTCCCATGATTGTTTTGGAAAGCAGTGACCAGAGATTTCCAGGAGATGGACTTATGGGAGAAATAATTCTCTCCTGCGATGAATATCAAGCACATGAGCATGATATTCGTTCACTAAGAAATCCTTGATTTCTTATTCATGATTTAAGGAATGCGGTCCTCTAGTAACTCTAATTTCTTCTAAACGACTAACCCTCACACCACTGAGGGTTGTGAATTCCCCAGGTTTGCAAATCTTGGTTCAAGGAAGAGCTTTCCACAAGCACGTTCAGAACCATCTTTTACGTGGTTCTATTCTTTTTCTTCACTGGGCAAGGAGCTCCTTGGCCTCCTGTTTCAGGTCCCCTTCTTTGTGCTGACACTTGACCTCCGTTCATTTCAGGGCTCCTGAGCGCTTTCCCCATGTTCGGCTCTTCCTTCTTCTACATCCAAAGCTGTAGCAATAATACCATCATTTCCCCGTGTATCCTGGCTGTGAACCAGAATGGGCTGAATTTTCTCAACAAGGAAACTCACGTAGGCGTTGCATGTTCATTCCTTTGACATTTCAAGATGCTTTCTTGGTCGTAATGCCTCTCTGTGGGCATCAGGGAAACCCTGCAAGTGGCTTGCCAGCAGAAGATCCCACAAGATGATAAAAATGATGGCCCCTCTGCTGCAAAATATGAAGGATCTCATACGCAGCATCAGAACATGGACAGGGAAGCTCCCATGGAACAAGCCAGGAATATAACTGACCATTTACTAACTACTTTAGAGTATATTCTGCAAGGGCGTGCACACACACACACACACGTATCTCCATTCAGATTCACACAATATATGTACCAAAAAGGAAGAAAAGTAGAGAGGGAGAGGGAGTCCTCCAGGGGCCAACTGGACAGAAGGGAGTTGGGAGGCTCCAAAGAGCTGCTTTGTGGGAGAATCTCTGCAGGAACATTCTTGTCTTCATGCAAGACTTGAGGGTGATGGGCACGGGCAGTAATTGACTACATACAGGATGTGTGGGGTGGAAAAAAATAGCTTGGGGCCTCTGATTCTTAGCAGCAGTGGTCAGGGAAGGTCTGGGGGGGACATAAGCAGCCTTCTGGTTGAAGGTTGTCTACCCTCCTAATACGTTTCTCCTCCACTGCTCTAGGAACCCATTGTAACGTTCTCTCTGAAGGAGATCCACTCTACTCGCACCCAGCGACCCTCGGCTGGATCCAGCTACCCCTACGTGGAGATTATGCTGGGAGACTTGATGTCTCATAGGGTCACCCAGCTGCAGCTTAAGCAGGTATGGGGGGGAAATGCAGGTTTCCCAGGACAGCAGAGTAATTTCTCCTTGGCAGGTCCAGGTGCAAGGAGGTGGTTGATTTAGGGCTGTCATTCAAATTACTGAGTTAAAAAAAAAAATTAAGGAATTGCTTCCCAGGCAAATTGTTGGGGAAGCTAGAGGGGGTTTTCTTAGACTTCAGCTGACCTCTGTGCACATTCCCATAAATGTTGAGCGAAATATTCAAAAATTCCGAGTGCTCTTTCTCAGACCAAACGCTTGCCAAATTTCAAGGCAAGTAAAAAAAAAAATCAAAAAAAATCTGAAAGACAAGCAAGATGAGAAAGATGCAGAGGAAACACATTATTTGAACAGAACCATAGATTTGATCTGATTCTGCAGCCAGATTTTTTTTTTTTAATTTAGAACTGCCTTATTGTTAAGAATGCAGCAGGTTTGGCCCATCTTTTCAGAATATAGGCTCCGTGATATGATTGTTAGACGTATTTTGACTTTGTTGGAAATATGTTGAAACTCTGTGAAATAAGCTTAACTCATTTTCCTCCTTTCTCTTTCTGTCTCTTTCTGTCTCCTCCCACTGGCTTTGTGAAGCTTAACCTTCAGATGGTAGGTGGTTTTCTCATAATACTGTAATACTGATAAGGTATTGGAGTATAGCATTTGAAATGTTCCAGATGCTTCACCTGTTTATTTTGCTATCCTTACCCCACACCTGCAAAGTAGGGCAAGATGGCTGTCCACGTTTTATTGGAGGGACAGGGAGTGGTGGGTGTTGCTCTAGGATCCACTTGTGAGTTTAGGGTGGGATAGCATTCGAACTGCTGAAATTCTGCATTGCTCTTCAGTCTCTGAGTTGCAATCCTGGCTCATAAACAGACTCTATTTGTATCTCAGAAGAATCATTCACAAGTCGAGTTAACTCATAGTTTCTGGACTTTCCACCCCTAAATCGAGGTTTTGTATGCTATAATTCAAAGGCTTTCAATTCAGGACCAAAACTGATCAACTAAGAAAAGTTGCAAGAATCTTTATTAGCCTCCTGTAACCTGGGGCTTTCCAGATGTCCTGGGATCATCACTCCCACATGGCCTTCAGATTCCACATATCTGGAAAGTGGCAGGTTGAGGAAGCTAACGTAGGTAGGTCTTTTTGGCCACAACCATTAAAGGAGCACAATTTTTACCAATTAGTTCAGTCTTGCTATTTTTATTTTGTTTTACCTTTTTGTATAGCACCAAGAAGTTGGAGCTCCTGCCATTATTATTAGTAATATTAGAATTAATGTTAAGGGCTAAGCTATTCTATTGCTTATGAAAACTTTGATCATATTATTTACGCAGCACCCTTGATATGCATCATTCCTTAAATGAGGTTGTTCCCAGTGCCGGTAGGCTAATGATTTAAAAGTCAGGCTTAAATATATCCCATCATATGAACTTGGGCTTTCTTACAGTAGAAGAGACCAAGGGCTTGGTGGAAAAGTGACTTTTGTGGGCAGATCTGGAAGAGGTGACACTCACAGATATCCGAGGGCAGGAGGAAAGAAACATGAAAGAACGGGATCTCTTTGCTGAGGTTGATGGAACTGGAGAACCAGAGAGAGGTGGAGCTCCAGAACCAATAGGCTGATGGACAGCCTACCGTGGCAGATCACACAGCTTTTAAAGCAGGGAATCAACCCTTGAGAGGCACGTTCTGACTTCTGTTGTGCCCTCTTTCTCCCCACAGGGCCTGGAACTGTGTCGTGTCATTGCCACCCACGTGGAGAGCCTGCTGCATGCTCGTGAAAAGCGGCTGACGCTGCCCCCAAGTGAGATTACTTTGTTGTGACTGGATCTGCTGTTCTGCGTCTCTCTCTCTCTTCCAGATTCCAGAACAGATCCTGGCCCTACTCTGAACCAGCCTGAAAGATACATCTGAGCTGTCAACAGCTCTTCCTTTAGGGCTCAATGACATCCCCATTGTCATCTCCAGATTGAGGGGTGGGAATGCATGGATGTGAGCGAGTGACCTCAGGGCATCTCACCCTGCTCATTTCCCTCCAGGTCCAATCCACCCAGGACTAGTGAAGCAAGTGGAGAAAGGCAATACTTTTGCTTAGCTTTTAGCATACTTACTAAAGGATGGGCTACAAGTAGCAGGCAGGAGGCTTGGAGGGACCACTGCTGATCCCAGCGCCAGCCCTGCAACCAGCGGGAAGAAACACAGAACTTTTTTCGTTTCTTTCGTGGTGTCATTGCATTTCCATTTATTACCACACCATCAGATTTTATTAGATGCCTTCATTAAATTTATATTCCCTTTCCTCCAGGACCAAAAGAGGGTGCACCTGTTCCCCCCACCAGCCCCATACATGCACACAAACACAACATTTTCTGCCATGTTTATGGTTAGTACACCAGGCCAAGATCTTGTGGCTTGTCCAAGCTCAGACAGCATCTCTGCTGAGCAACGACTGAAACGAGGGTCTCTCCAACCTCAATCTCGTACTCTAGCCACTCACTTGACACCTTAGCTTCAAAGAGCACAGCTGCAGCCAGTGGCCGCATTCTTAACACAGATGTGGAATGGATGCTTTGCATTTTAGTGCCCTCAAAATCAGTGACTTGGGGAAGCGCAAGAAAGTTGGAGTTTTTATACCAAGACTAGGTTCTCAAGAACATTAACACTGCCAATAGAGATGGATAATACACATTACTATCCTGTCTGAACCTGAAATTGGGTATTCAAACCTGAGCGTGTGCAAGCGGCGATAGTTCCCAGCAAATTGTAATAATGCTGGTTTTCCCAGCAACTTTCAGATGCTGTATTGGAACAGGAATCACCTATTGCTGGCAATTCCAGCTGGCTCCTAGCAGCATCCTCTATATTTTTCATACGGACTAGAAGCATCTCTCATACAGACTATCCTATGTTAGCAGGTTTACTCGGCCAGCAAGATGTCAGCCAGACACCAAATTCTCCTTTGCTGTGCTGGACCAGGCCAAGTTTGCGCCTGGCTCAATATTCCATTTCCAACAGCTGTTGGCCAGATGTTGTGTAGAAACGTCTGAGCAAAATACGATGAAGATTCATCTATTGTTTGTATCCAGACTCTGTTTATATTCAAAAAAAGGTTTTTAGAATTTTTTTTTAATAATTATTCTCCTCTTATTTCGTGGTATGTCTCCCCAAACCGTAGCTTATTCATTAATAAAAGCAGTCGATCTATCTTTAGAAGAAATGATATACTGTATATGCCATTGTCTCAAATAAATGTTCCACCATCTATATTTTATAATACTTGTACATCCCAATTATATTATTCATGGGTTACTGTTCATAATTCAAACCAAATTAATAGTGTCCTTTTATTTCTGTGTCCAAATTAGAGAAAATCTCAAATATGGGCACTAACAAAATCAAGTAATATGCTAATGAGTGAAAGCAATCGTGTGCTCCTACCATAAATTGTAAGCCTCTATGCATCACATAGGAGGATAAAGTTTTTTTTTAAAAAAAGTCTCATATGGTTGCTGCCTGTCACTTGAAACCTCTAGATCTGAGAAATAATTTTCTGGCTGCATTTGTATAATATGCTTGGATAATTTTCACCATGGTTTGTTATATTAGCCCAGTTGACTGGGTTCCCACAACACAAAAATCCACAGCCAGTTTTGCTCATGCTATGATAAAGTGTGTTGGCCAGTTTATGGTTCAAAGTATCATGGTAATATATCCTTTCTCTAGGTCCACAGAACTCAAATTAGGTTTTCTACCAAGGAGCAAATCTTTCTTTGGTTTGGTTGCCCAGCTAGCTCCAAATTATTCCAAATTTCCTAACAGCCACTGGGTTACCAAATTTTCCTCTCTGTGGTGGCTTTGGGGTGTCATTTGAGTTCTTGTTACTAGGCAACAGAGGACAGGGAAGGAGATGGGAGGCAGGAAAAGTGAGCAAGGATGGATGAAAAGCAGCAGTACTGTACTTTAGTTTCATGTTAAGGTAGGATCTGGCAGCTGTACAAAATAGTGGGTTTGGAGCTGTGACACCAGATACCGACATTCTTCATAGCACGAGTTAAGTAGAATCTGCTCCGTTTCCTAGTTGATTAGGACTTGCAGCAGGACGGCTGTTACTCATGGTTCCTGTTTCAAGGACAGGGATCCCAGAGCGAAGGGCAAGACCGGGTCAGGGAGCTTCAGCGCACTTCCTCTCCCGCTTCCTAATGTCTGGCCTCCTGGGGGGTTTTCTGAAATTAATGTGACCTGCGAGGCCGATGGGCGGGAAGTCAGCCTTCCAAAAGCAGATCTTTCTGCAGCTGCGACGGCGGGTGGTCCGCAGCCTTGAGCGTGCAAGACGACCGGCATCTTTTCTTCTGTCTCCCCGCAGCCAGAAAAGCAGAGTTTGGGTGTGGCTCCTCCTCGCCTCACCCTTGCTCTAAGCTTGGCCCCCGAAAGCGATGCTTCGCTTGAGCAGGGCCCGCTCCTGGCGACTTGTGCTGAGCAGCAGTATGGAAGGGGGCTCCCATGTCTGTCTTCTGTGGTTGCACGGTCCCGGGTGCCGCTGAGATTTCCTAGTGGTCTCCCATCCACAGGCACCTGCACTCCCCCGAGCTAAAAGTGGGGGTCATGTGGGCAACACTTCAGCAGCCCCTTCAATGCTGCTTTTCAGCTTGCTCGGTGGGCACAGCCAGGACGCCCTCAGCCAAGGGAGGCAGGCAGAGGCTCTTTCTGCTCTCTGTATTGCAACCAGCCCCTTTAGGAGGCCTTTTAGGGACTGCAAGCGTGCTCCCAAGAGCTGGCTGGGGATGATGGGCCTGGGAGTCCAAGCAGTCCCGCCTGCAGCCCGCCTGGAAGCCTCTGGGAAAGGAGTTTCCCATAATGCTTCAGGGTTGGCCAGAGTCGCCCCGCAAGGCATCACGGGAGGCGCTCTAAAGCGACACCAACTTCTTCGCTCGGAGTCAACTTCGCAGATTCTCCCGCGCGCGGATTTCACTCCGGCGAATCAGCGGGCAGCCTTTTCAGGTGGCCCCGCCCGGCAGGGGAAGCGTGGCCAATCGGCGCCAAGGTGGTCCCGCCCCCATCCTCGCGTCAAAGTCCCCGGCGTGAGCCCCGCCCAGCTCATTTCCAGCGCCTGGCGAGAGGCTGCGTCGGCCTGCAGAAGCGGCGAGGCTTTGCGCGCCTGCGCCCTTCTCCGGCAGAGCATGCGCAATGTGGCACCTTCGAGGCCCTCAAGCCGCCTCTTCACACGTGAATTTTACAGGTTCGCTTGATTTCCGGCTGCCGTAGGAAAATACCCGTTGCATAACATTCACGGAAGGGAGGGGCGTTATGCAAGCAGCCGGAAACGCCTGCAGTTTTCTTCCTGATTTCCATTTTCTTCCCTCAGAAAAGGGCGGGGGGGCGCAAAAAGTCTCCCGCGGAAGCACCCTGAACCAGAAGACCCGCGTTC